ATCCTTGCTTGGTGAGGGATATAGAAGCTAGGACTGTGGCATTGCAACTGAATTGACTACCAGAATAGTGTACTTGGCTTCATCTAGGTCTGGTTTACTACTCTGCTTGCTCCACCTCACTGGGTTAGCTGGAATTCCGTCACTGCTGGCAGCCTCTCGGACAATGCACACAGTCCCTAGCTTGTGATAGCTGGCTAATTGAGTCAAATGGTTGTAATCGTTCTAGGATGTATGTTAATGGAACAAAAATAATGTCACCAGGAATTGTAGGCTTTTTGTCTTCTCTGAATGGCTCCCTTGTTGTGGATCTCTCCACTGGAGACACTGGACAATACCTGGCCGTCTGGACAAAGCTGCCAACCGAACTCGTTGTGTTTCTTCTGGCTGTTGGTGGCAAATAAAAGCTGATGGCTTTCAAATGGGTGGCTTTATGGACTGTTAATTTACTGCATGGTCTCCAAGGAGATCTCTTCCCAAGCTTTTGGAAATGTCCTGGGCGCAAAGGCTTCTTTCCTTGGGCATAGAAGTGAGTGCCAAAGCACTGAACGTCCTGTCTCGTTGGATATCAGGCAGAGAATCGGGGGGAAACTTAGCGTCAGGGCTGCCAGATAAAAAACTTCATTTTATGCCAAACCATTACCCAAAATATGCCAGAAATTGCCAAATAAAGTGTAACATTGTATTCACTTCACATCAAAAGCTCTAGATTGAATTCTTCACTGTCATCCTCGCTGGAACCAGTGGAAGATGCAGCATAAATCTTTTCGGATGTAAAATCTGTAAGCATTTTCTCAGATGGAATGAAGTCTTTGCAACATTTCTTTGATATCAATAGTTCTGCTCTAATTCTGACAACTGCATCAAGAAAATCCAGTTGTATTTTGTTTCTTGCTTTTGATTTAGTTGAAGTAACAAGAGAGAATATTCTCTCAACTACAGCATTGTAAACGGGCATTATTAAGCAAGTAAGGGCGAAAGTGACCAACTCTTTAAATGCCTGTGTCGAAGTACGCCTATCCAAAAATCTTCCCTGTTTGTAGGTAGTCTATCCTTCTTGAATGTAGCTTCTTCTTTCCAGTTGACAAGAATCAATTTTCTGTATTGTTCTTCTATAATACTGATATTGTTTTCTGTCAGTTGTAAAAATGGTAGCTCTGAAAACTGCGTCCTTGATATTTGATTTAAAAATGCCAAAGGGCTCAATTTTGACAAGTTTTGAAATATATTCTCGGTAGGAAGTCTACACGTAATTTGACTGAGAGCTTCCTCTAGCACAGACATACATCTTTCTTTAACATTGTTTATTTCTATCTCAGCTTCAGTCCCGTTATTCTTATGTAGGAACGTATTACATTCCGTTATGAATTTAATACCAAAGTCAATGTGATAAATAAATTTTTTTCTGCTTATTGACGCCATACAGTCTGTTCTTAATACTTTTCTGGTGCATGGACAATTCTTGATGTAGTTCATGAGGATCAGCTTTTGTTTGTTGAAAAAGACTGTGCACTGACACAGTTTACAATATGCTGCCTCTGATCCGTCTGAAGATCTTTTGAGCCATGAGTATGTTTTCTCCTAATTACAATTATACTTGCGATTGCTGTCATAAGAGGCTTTCCATTTTTTGGATGACGTAGCCATTGGTAAAAGTTATAAAATCTATCACAGATAGAACTAGATCTATATCCTATCTATTTTCTGTCATCAAGTAGTTTCTGAACAGTCTGAATCACTTGGTATTAGTGGTGGTTTTCGTTTTATATCTCGCATTTATTCTAGTAAATTAACATAAATTACAGAGGTTTATCACGATCCGTTTAGGAAGACAACAAAACAATAAGAAATGGCTCGAATCTCTGTTAGTCCGTACCAGGACATCACAACAAAGTCAAACTGAAAAAAAGATTTTAACTGTAGGTCTACATTGCTTTTAGTAAATCTGCGTGTTTCATGAAGAAACTGTGAGCACATCTTGATAAGAAAAGCCAGGAAAAACCCAAAAATGCCAGAATATGCCACTTCCTTATCTTATGCCAGTTCAATTTCAAATATACCAGATTTGTGGAATCTGGCATCAAAAATGCCAATATGGCAACCCTGCTTAGCGTCACTCTCAAAGAAAGTAGGGCGAAGATTTCATAGGACGAAGATGCCTACTCCTATGTTATGATTAGTCCCATCGAAATGTTAGCAATAACACAAAAAATGTCCAACTTCTAACTGTAAGTTTGAAAATGGAGACATACCAAGAGATTCAGAATTATATATTATGTCATAAAAAAGTGTAAATATTTAAGAGTGTGACGTGACGCGTGGTTTTAAATGTTTATAATGTTGAGTAGGGATGTTCCTCTCAACACATTCCCTCCACCAGATTAACCGAACTAAAATCTGAGCTATGTTGCTCTCAGACAAAGTCCTGGATATCCAAGAAAACAGCCATATTGGCTCGTTAAGTACATTAACATTAGCTGCACTTGGTACCAACAAGAGAAGGAAAAGAATTTTAGATGTCTATAGCATTATATTAAATGAGTTATTAGACAGGGCAAATGATTCCTCCGTCATCCACCTTCTCCCGGTGTTATTATGAATAATTAAAGAATTATTATCATATTAATTGAGCCCCCACCAAATGGTATTCTATCTTAACAGTTTAATTAAACAGGTAAGAACAGACATTTGGAATTACAAAAACTGATGCAGGATAAGACCATATATTTGATTTATTAACCTAGCAATCAGAGTATGACATTAGTCATCATTATTGTATATTAGATATTGATGGTATGGTGATAATGAGGGGCTTCAGCTAGATAACTGAGCACCTAAGATTAGAGTGAATGGATAATGGTAGTGATAAGTTTACATCCATAACACATGGTGAGACGTAACTTAATTATCATAGAACCTCTGACAGCCGTGGGTACTGTCAAGTTCTTCCACCTTTTCCTCCCAGTTCTCCTGGTCCTCCACCTCGTTCTCCACCTCGTTCTCCACCTCGTTTTCCACCTCGTTCTCCACCTCGTTCCCAGCTGGCCGAGTCTAACACAATGTAGGCTACTTCGTGGACTGATCGTCACATGGGCGCTGTAATCATGGAAACAAAACACATACGTGTAGTATATTGACTTATACTAAAAATACATTTATCAATTAATATAACATATAATAATAAAATATCTCCCATCACTCCTCCTCATATTCCACATTCTCTCCAGTCTAGTCTGAAGGTCTTTTGTCTTACATGGGCGTCACATATCCTGCCTTCCCTCTTCATGCTATGTCATGATAGTTGCCTTTCTAAGTCTGTTGTCCGTCATCACTCAGACTTCCAACTGGCTGACATTGATATTATATGACCACGTGGAGCAGGTTATGTGCTGAAAACTCAAACAATTTATATGTGCACGCTGTCCTGAATATTATCTTTCAGTGACAGTAAATACTGTACACCCATCATTCTTCCCCTGGGGTTATAAATCCCCTGTTTAGGTGAACACCTAAAGTGAGCACATGGTGGGCACACAAAACGTAACAGCATCCCTGCACATATTTAGGCATCATGGAAACAATATAATTACATTTCATTATAGCAAATGTCATTGTTCACACCTTATTTTATACACATGAAAACACACTGAAAAACATGTGACACAAACATACCAGAAATAGGAATAGTTTAGCAGTTCCCTAACTGAGATACTGAATACTCACAAAGAACTATTTCAAGCAGAATGTGCAGACAAATTAGGAAAAGGTAGTATAGACTAAGCTTAACTCCCTAACCTATGTATACAAGATTAAAATTAATATTTTCTCTTACCTGGGAACTTTCCATCAATCGCCAAAACAGAATGCGACCGTAAAATACCTTTACGTCGACCTGTGTTTGTTTGCCGGCAGGCTGCGATTAATGACGGGAATTCCACAGGCTCGAAGTATAAGTATCAATCTATTGTCCAAATTAAACTCCCCCCTTTCCTCGGTTCTACCCAACCCTCAAGACGATGACTTAAGCCCCGCCTCTGAAGTAGCTATCAGATCAATTAGCTAACAAGTGGCCTGTCAGTCAATTCTGGACTGACATCCCTAGAGCAAACATTCTTAAGTGACCCAATCTAGTTTACAACGAATCTAACTAGCCGGTGTGAAAACGGTCCGTGAAGCCATTGTGTTTACCACTTGACCCAGATCAAACATTCCTAATTGCCAAACACCTGTTCTGCCAAGAATTACACTGACTTGCGAAACTCCGACCTCCCGGCTCCACAATGTCTAGCGTCTACTCAATTTCTACAGTCTGGTCAGGAGATAACATTCTGACACTGGCGTGTGAAAGAAAATTCTCTAGCCCCGGTGTAATTGCGTAACATTACCCAAGACTCAGTCGCTTTGTCTGGACTAAGGACTGGAAACATTTAAATCAATTCTGGTTTAAAGTAATATTAGGGTAAAGGGCAGAGTAAATATAATCCTCTCTCTTTAGAACCAGAAGAACTTATTACAAGTACTAACTTCTGGAACCACTGAGATCGTCTCGTGACAAAGAGGGACTATATACCCACACAGGCGAGCTCACTTTTGAATTAGACGTCGTCACAGAGGGGACGACATGATCAAGAATAGTGTAAGATGAAGGGGTGGTTGAGACTGTTACGCGACAGTCAGGTCAATATTCTATATTATCATTAATTATGTACTGACGTCAGATCTTTTTCATTTGTTATCAGAAATAATTATCCAAATGTCAAGTCTTTCTTCTTTGAATGTCAACTCTTATACGTTATCATTAATGATGTCATAATGTCATGTATGTCTTCTATGTTATCAATAATGTCTTACTTTCATGTCTATCTCATACGTTAACATTAATACTGTTTTGATTTCATTTGTGTCTTCAATACTAATATTATGAATGACCTGCTGACAGGTCCTTCGTCAGTTATCATTATCGATGTTTTGACAATTGATTGGTTACAGGTCTTAGTCAAGAGCCTAGGTTCAACATCCTTGCCAAAAACGTGACCGTAGTGGCAGGTCAAAGAGCCATCCTTCCTTGCTCTGTGGATTATCTGGGTAGCTACAAGGTGAGCCCACATGACTGGTGTAAGTTTTCATGTCGGCATCCACATACTCAACGTTGTCATGTCTGGTATCTGTGTAGGTGTTAGCTGCCGCCTTTCCGTCTTTCCAGACGATGGTATTTTATTGGGATATTAGGAGGCAATAAACTCTAGACAGTATAAACAGTGAAGATGGTTTTGCCACGTAATGAGAGTGAATCATTGTATACCTGTTAAATCAGCTTGGACTTGAAGGAGAAAGAAGGTGTGCCCAAACACAACATAGAGACGAGCTATGGAAAGTGAAATGAGTGCTGCCCCTCTGAAATGGAAACCTGCCTCTCTGACATGGAAAGCTGCACTAAATATTGCACAACAGGAAGGCATGGAAAGTCCTCTCTGAAGCCTCATGTGCCACTAGGCGTAAAGAGGGCTGATGATTAGGAGGCATGGGACTCACAGTCCATGTCGATGGTGAATTTGACTAGCAAGACCCGCTCGTGTTAAGAAAAGCCTTCCACAGTTAGAGTATAGGATCTCAAGAACGTTGTTACCATTATGTGTTTTTCCTCTCAGACACTCAACTTTCATCCTTTCTGCAAACACTTCTTACTTCACTCTCACCCTTTCCTGATTTGCCGCCTCCACACAACGCTGTCTATGACAGTATGGTCCCACAAATCTATTTTAATATCTGTGTCATTCATGTCCCGCTTTTAATGTCAAGTATTCTTCTTAGGCATCGCATGTGAAAGCTATATAGCCGTTTCAGTGTATGTGCATGAAAGCAAGAATGTCTGCCTGCATACCTACCAGCGAGTAGTCTATATGTCAGTGTACACATACTCAATACTTTCATTACGTTTTACTATGAACAATTAGCAGGAGTATCTGGGTAGGATCCAGAGAGATACAAGCTGTCCCCAAAACACTCGCATGGGCAGCAGAGCAGTCAAGCACACCCGCTTTTACCATATCGGACTTCATGATAGTGTTTCAGACAATCACAACAGAAAGTATGCGCTTTGAATGGGTAGACAGCATTAGGAAGTCACAACATCGCCTAGTTCATCTGGATTTACTAAGCTGGGTATGTCAGAGTAAAAGGCAATGAGCGAGTGGACCAGCTGGCAAGTAGTGCACCACTTAATGATGCAGATGCACGGACAGAGCAAGAAATAATCAACAGTGTACTGACTAGAAGGACAGTTAATAACGAATCTGACGTTAATACAATTGCATGATCTCGGAGTGAACCTGGGTGAAGCACGCCGTTGCCGTCATTTAGGTAAAGATAAGAGACATTATAACCAACTTCTCATCTGAGCCATCTTGGGATGGGAAGCCTCATGTCAGCATATACACACTGAATGCTTCTATTTGATGGGTTTAGAAACAATTTATGGTGACATCGAGAGCTTTTCTCTTGCTCCAGAGTTTAGACCAGAGACTCCAATGTCAGTTTTACCCGCACTATATACTGTAGCCATATACTGTAGCCATATACTGTAGCCATATCATCATCATCATCATGTAGCAGGTCCTTTGCAGAACGTCGCTCTCATCACAGTCTGCCTGAAAGAAACTCGGTCTCTCGCCAGTTCTCCTGCCTGATATACTTTCATATTCAAGTAGTCACTTATATCCTGTGCCCATCTTCGTGTCGGTCGGCCCCTGCCCCTCCTTCCTGGTACCATGCCTTCTGCTATAGTTTTTTCCAATCCGTTGTGGCGCTTGATATGACCAAAATATTTCAGCTTCCGAGAAAGGATGCTGTTTATTAGCCAATCTTTATTGACATTCAAATCTTTCAAGATGTCAATATTTCTCCTCTTCTTTGTCCAAGATATTCTGAGAATCTTTCTATAGCATTTCAGCTGTAGCCATATAGTGTAGCCATATAGTGTAGCCATATACTGTAGCCATATACTGTAGCCATATACTGTAGCCATATACTGTAGCCACTATTGACGAAGACTTGGTTTATATTTAAAATTTAGGCAGAAAACGATGATCCATGATTGTTACTACAGAGAAAACCACTGAAGCTTTCGAAAAAAGGATTTAATTGCTCTAATTTATATAAATTGCAAATATGAAAGTCACTGAATAACTCAAAATAGACAACTCACTACACGCACGCACACACACACACACACACACACACACACACACACACACATTAACATACTAAACACACAAACACACACATACACACACACTACAAATGCACGCATTAAAGATTGGAACGAACACTCCTTTAATCACATCAGACACAATACTGATATGCTGACATCTATAATAATGGGGCACGAGTTAGAAAAATTAGGACATATTTAAAACAAAATGGCAGTAGTGCAGTCTGACAGAATATACAATATATAATTAACATTTTAACCGAGAAAGGTCCGTTCCCGTCACCCGTAAACTACAGGAATGAGACTGGATGATAAGCATCATTATTAAATAAATAAATAACCAAAGAAGAATGGCTGCGATGGATTGCCACCTTCCTGTATCTTGATCTGGTTGCACACTCTCCTCTCTGAGAATGCTGTTTCTCTATTTCTTATCCTTCCAATTGTCTCACCGCCAATCTCTTGCTAGTAAATCCTCAATCATTGTCTTGCTTTTTTTTTTTTAAAGAGTGTTAAGTCTAATGAAGTGTGTGAAGCCCGGCTCTCTAGCGTAATTGGCTAAACCGGATGGCGCGGAGACCGGGTGACGAACTCCTTGTGGTCCGGCTTCAATCCTGAGCGTAGGCAGGAAAGCCACATTTTCTCCCAGATTTACGGTATTTACAATGGAATCAAGGCCGATAAGTTGCGATATCCATAATACCGAGCCTAAGGGTTAACAACTCATGGTTTCTGGATACTAAAACAAACAAACAAGTGTCTGAAATATTTCAATAGTCTCTTATTTACTGCTTGTAGTTCTCTTTCCATTCAGTCTCTGCAGATCCTCTGTTGATTGTGTTTCCATGAAATACCACATTTTCTTCTGTTCATCCAGATCTCCATAGTTTCAATAAAAATGTGTTCTTGTCCTGGTTCTGCACCAGGCAGCAGCGTTGACTATACATAATATTTGACAATTGTTCATCTTAATATTTGTTAATCTCTTTAGCTGTCAGTAATTTTTCGCGTGCTGTTGACAATATTTTTGGCCATTGATTTTCTTTCTTATTTTTTTTTTTACTTCTGTCATAATTTGTTAAAACGTGTCGACGGTACGAGATACGTATTACTTGTTCTAATATATGTTATGTCTATTGTTAATTATAATAGTTTTCCCTATGTGATTATAATTATTTAATGCATATTAATTCTTTGCTGGTGCGGCGTCCGTGTCTTAGGCGTTGCGAGTCCGACTCGTAATACCAACGTACCACGATCGAAACCCACTGCTCGCTGCGTGGATTTTTATCATGGTATGGGGCGTCGCAGGTCGAGCCAGCCAAAAATTGGTACCAGGATGGTCTGTCCTGGGAAAGTAAAGACGGCCGGCGTAATGCTGACCACATTACCCATCTAGTGCTGATGGTCTGTAAAAATATGGGAGCTTTTCCCATACGCCCGATACGCCTAAAGGCGAGAAAAAGGATCTTTCCTTTTTTTTTACTTTTAATTGTTCGCTTATTTACATGCACCTCTAATAACTCCTGCTCACTTTCTGATAGTAACAGTGTGATAGTGTGAAATCGGTAGATCTAAGACGGAGTATTATTTTTTCGTTCAACATTCAATCTAGAAAATACTCCAGCTTGTCTGAAGATTGCATCTGTATATAAGTTCGAAAGGCTTGAAACAGTATACATCTCTGCTATCAGTGCCGGATGTACTTATAAGATGAATAAGCTACGGCTTTAAGGCCTCGCCGCCTGCAGGGACCCACGCAAATTCTTTAAATACATTTTAATTGCAATGTTCTTTTATTATATTTACTCTACCCGTCCTACCCCCCCCCCCCCCCATCCTACCCCTACTCCCAAAATTGCCAGACTACATTGCTAATTATGTGTGTATATTATCTTAGGCTTTTGTTTTTTTCTATTTACATGATAAAATAATCAGCTAATATACGTCTTCAAACTTTTCTTAATTTAAGATTATCTAGGTCACTCTCACTATTTGCTGCTTAGAGAATTCCATAATCTCATCTAATCTTGATCCTCTGGTACTTGTGTCGAGCTGAAATATTATTTTCGGGAGAGAGCCCGTTTGTATGTTTCACAAACTGGGATTCTCATTGACTCGGTAATTTCCTATGTCTATATTAGCATGGTTGGCCTCTTCTTCGCTTCTCAACTGGTCTGTACATCATTTTGCCTTCTGTGGTTTCCTGTATGTTGGCATTATACGGCCAAACCATTTCACCTGTTGTCTTCTAATGAAATTCAGAGCTGCTGCTATCTCCTTCTAGAAGAGTATATCACATAATTTGTGTGCTTTTGCAAACACATTCTTTATTATTTCTTTAAATAAAATAAAAAATTAAAAAAACGACAACATATTTTCGTTATGCAAATATTTGAAAGCGTATATATTTTAACGTTTCCTCGGATTAGCCTTTGTAACTTAAAACTGTAGGGGCCTTAGGGGTTTCTTTAGCTTAGTGGCTCGCCAAATGTCAATCCGCCCCTGCCTGCCATACTATCTTGTCTGTCTGTGTTGTTATCTAATTGTCGATAACTGTTCCCAGTATAAGTTACCAAAGGTCTGATTTTGGTCATATATCTCAAATAGCTTCTGTCTTCTGTAGCAAATGCAGATTTCCAAAATCCATAGTGCCATGTCAGTCTGTTGATATTTTTTATTGCTATTTTGTTGATCTAAATTTGGCCTCGTTTCATGGAAGTGCAGTTGACCACTGAGACTCTTTTACTGCCGCAGAACATCCGTTTCTCTTGAAAAAACTCAAGACGGTTCACGGACACTGACCACAGACCTGGACTACCGGTCAGTAGCTGGAACCTGAGAGCTTAGGTATCTTGAGCTCCCATTCTCGACAACATTTTAGGG